GCAAAAGCAGTACGAGATAGATGTAGGAAGACTATCAAACACTTGAGGAGTGATTCATCACCTACCTGTTCCGGCAAATTCAGAAAACATGGGGTTGTTCCTCAATCTCAGTGATTTCTTACACTGAAGATGCGGATGCACCTCCTTACACCTACGGAGCTTCGCCAGTGCCTTGCACTAGGCCTGGCATTTTGGACCCAACCCGTTAACCCGACCCGACCCAACCCGTTAATATTTGTATTTGGGTGGATGTTTAACGGGTCGGGTCGCTAACGGGTGAACCCGTTAACAACCCGTTAAATAACGGATCACTTTGGGTCAACCCGTTAGACCCGTTAGGACCTGTTAGCACCCGTTAGTTGAGGATATTTTAGTAATTTTAATAAAGTCTTAATAACAAAAAATAAACTTTATGCAACAAAAGAAATAATAATAATTGTTAACGGGTGTTAATGGGTGAAACGGGTGACCCGTTAGCTTAACGGGTCGGGTTCGGGTGACCCGTTACCTTAACGGGTTGTGTTCGGGTGACCCGTTAACTTAACGGGTCGGGTTGAACCCGACCCAAACCCAATAAACCCGACCCGTTTACAGGTCTACCTTACACCCATATGACTTGGGAACTATAACAGTTTTCTCTTTAATTAAAATTTTTCAAAGGCCCCTAAAGTCACAAGTCACTGCTTCATTGACCCTTGTCGTCCAACTCCCAAGTTACTACATTTTGATGTGGCACTTTGGTGGGCCTATTTTTGCATGGAAAACATATTGATGTCACGTGGCCATTTTTTTAGTTCCTTGTAACTCAATTAAGCTTATTGTTTTCTTAAAATTGATTTTGGCATGCGGTCTTGGATTTAGAGTAGTGCGTACTTTACATACTTGAGCTAAATTTAGTTTCATTATTCAAACAAATATTTTGGCCGTCTCCTATTCATGCCCTTCAACTTTTACTTTGTGAAATTTATTCCAATAATTGCAAATTTTGTTACCATTTTGTGCTAAAAGCCCGAATGAGATACTTTTCCAAAACAAAATAAGGCTTTTCACTGTTGTTTAGGTGAGTGATACTTACGAGTATAGGAATCAAGTATCCTAAGTTTGATTTTTATAGCACTATTGCTACACTAGTGTGAGCTCAATATATTGATATCACACTTATTAGTTTGATATATTGAACTCATGAGTCTAATATTTCTAGCTTACTGTAAAAGTATGATTACTGTATAAGTTTAACATATTAGTATCACACTCACTTTTTCCGACCTACTGTGAATGACCTAACATTACAGGCTGCTATTCTAAGCACATTAGCAGAAAGTTCCTTCACTTCCGAGTTTCAACAACCGTCATTAAATTTAAAAAATAAATAAATAAATACTAAGGCATTTGCTTCTAGTCTTGTAAACGTTTCCGACAGGGTTTTGTTCCTTTTTTTTTTTTTTTTTTTTTTTTTTTTTTTTTTTTGGTCCGATCATGAGGTCGCTCATATACGCTTTGGCGGTACGTATTGCATCTGAGCATCTTCGCACATGTTCTGCAAATATATGAACCAAATAAGTAAATTAAAACAATGGAGACAAAAAAGTGTAAGAACTTCTAAACATCCCAGTACAAGCAACTTCTATGGATTTGGAAAGTACAATCGAGTAAACAAAGCACATGATGAATAATATCCTCCACACCCAATTTAAGCTCCCAATGCCAAAAATTTGGTGTGAAAAATAAAAATAGCGTGTAGATAGAACCACTCTAAAAGAAACAGCTTTTCATTATATTCAAATATAGATCATATACAAAGAGTTTGAATTTTGATTAATGCACTAAGTTACACTAGACCAGAAGGAAATAAGGTAGAGGGCCTAAATCATTAGGCTACGTTTGGTATGCGGAAAAGAGAGCTTGGGAATGAGAAAGTGTTGTCTTTTGCTTTCTAATGTTTGGTAACTTCAAGCTTGAGAAATGATTTCTTGGCTCATGGGAAAATAGTGGGGCAAGGGAAGCCCTCCACCTTCTTTAGTAATCACTTTCTTTCTCCATGGGAAACCAAAAGATAACATTAATTGCTATCTTTTTATGATAAATATGTCCTCATTAATAATTAAAAATGACCATTATATCTTAAAATGTGGTTTAGAAACAAAATTTCTTAATTCGACATCATTGTAGTGAAGAAAAATTTATAGCAATGATATGATAGAATGATAGAATTGTATCGGGAGAAAATAGTTTATGTTCAAAATATTAACCTCTTGTTTTAAATAGGCATTCTCCTGTTGAAGTTTTTTGTAGACTGAAGTGTCGCTCTTCTTCTGGAATTGGTGGATCACCACTAGTAGGGCAAACGATATTCTTTAAGGTTTCCTAATTGCACAGTTTCAGGTCAAATCTTTTCATTCAGTTGACGAAGAACAGTGTTTTCTGCTCTCTTAGTTTGTTTCTGAAAACGATCATGTACAGAAGATTCGATGGAACATATTCATTATAAAGTAAAAGAGATGAAAACCAAATTGCTAAATATTGTTTGAAGAGGGAAAGCTGGAGAACCTTCATTTGTGTTCTTTATTTTGAAACCAAAACATGATCTGATTTGGCTCAAGCCTCAACTCTCTACATAGTTGTTTACGTTGGATCATCTGGGTGAGTGCAATCCTTGAAAAATCTTCAATGATAACAAGGTTCTGCAGATGAAGATGTTTCAAGAATTGCACCCACCCAGATGATGACTAGTGTCAAAAACTATGTAGGGAGTTAGGGCTTGAGCCAAAACAGATCATGTTTTGGTTTCAAAGTAAAAGAACACAAATCAAAGTTCACCATCTTTATCCCTCCGAACAATATTCAACAATTTTTTTTTTCTCTCTAATTTTATAATGAATCTCTTCTACTGAATTTTATTTTCTTTACATAGTACTTTTCAGACACAAACAGAGAGGGCAGAAAACATTGCTCTTCGTTAATTAAACAAAAAAAAATTCGACATGAAAACTGTGCAATGAGAGAAACCTTAAAGAATGATAAGATGTTTCGTAAAGCTAATCACTTCAAAAACTCTCGTGCTCGTGTCGAGTCTTCGAAAGATGAGACATAACTCATGCTTACATAACCTGAAACATTGGTAAAAGTATGATTAGGATCATCCATGGATGCCTTAAAAATCTACCAAAATCGAGTATCCTATTTCTACACGAAATCAGCCATCTAAGGTAGTTCAAGTTTAAAGAATCCAATGTATTTCAGAGCTTTATGATGCATTCTAAATTAATCTTAATTTCTTTAGAATTTTTTAATCAAAGTTAATAAAAATAGATGCATAACAAAGAATAATTCACATATTTACCATTTAGACTGCGAATTAATATTTTTCAACACCTCAGAAAAACAAGTACCAAATCAAATCGTGCTAAAAGCATAATAGGTATGATTTAATCAATTCATAACGACACTAAATCAACACTGTAGAAATCATGAAAGTTTTAACCATGACTCTAAAACCACATGTAAAGCAGAAATCTCAAATTTCCTAATTTTCCCAAAATATAAAGTGGAGATTAATTGAATATAAAAAATAAAATAAAAATCATACCTCGATCCATGGTAAAACTCAATGGAGAAGAAGATTTAAGATAGATTATTTTTGTTCTTAAGCGGTGGCCATAGATATGTTTTCCTCTTTTTGCTTTGCTTTCGAAGTTCAATATTTATAGGCAAACGACTGACTAGTTTCCTAATAACCCTAATCACAATGATATTATATTGGGAACTTTAACGAAAAGCTCCTCGTACCGTTCATTTTAACGAAAAATCATATTTTTACACTAAAAAGTCAATCCTGATACTACTCACTTTACCTTTATTTTGTCCTTATCGTTAAAACTCAAAGTTTTCAATCCCTTTTTATTAGTTTTCCTTATTATATTTGCGCCTCACTTAGTCCATAGAAATATGAAAATGATTGGCTTGCCCTTGGCACTATAAAAAAGCAACCTCACCCTCATTTAGGGACCATTCTCCAATTTAACCCTAAGGCTTCCTCACTATCACCACCTTTACTCTCTTAAAGACACACATGCCTCTTGCTCGATAAAATCAACCCAATCATATAATGAAACTATATCAGAGTGAAACCCAACTTCAAATAAATCACGATACATCATTGTGTTCTCATGTTAGAATTACGATCTCATTTGTGTTGGTACACACAATATTTCCAAAGGAAAATATTTTATTCCTTTTGACCAATAGAATTCTCAACTAGTATTAAACCCTTTTAATTGGAAGTATTTGCACCACATATGACTTGGGAGCTATAACAGTTTGGCTATTGTCTTTTACTAAGATTTTTCAAAATCACAAATCACTACATCATTGACCCCTTTGTAATCCAACTCCCAAGTTACATGCTATTTTTTCATTTGACACTTTGGTAGGCCCATTTTTGCTATATGGATAACGAATTCAAATTCTCTCAGATCTCGCAATCCGACGTCGACAGATTACGAATTGGACCATTCAAGAGGAAGAGAAAGGTTCGGACCCTTAGGTTTTGTGAGATAAACCAATGGAATGGACTAATAGAGACCATTTGAATTGAATGCTTCAGATTACTCTATCAGTCGGTTCCGGTCTAAAGAGATCTGGAGAGGATCTCAATTCATGGATAACATGTTGATATCACGTGTTGATTTTTTTAGTTCTATGTAACTAGAGTTCAACTTAATTTTTTTCTTAAAAATAAGTAATATGATAGATCTCTTATTTGCTAAACACTCTAGAAGTGATTTAGGTTTGTTGACTTGAATTCAGTCAAGTCAACTAGAACTGTGTTCTCAACCATCTGCACCCAAGATCAAATATCTATCTCGTACTTCTAAAAAATTAATTTTGGCCCTCTCATAAACATATCAAAATATGCCCTTCAACTTTTACTTGGTGAATTTATTCCAATAAATCAGCCTGCCAAATTTTGTTACCATTTTGTGCTAAAATCCCGAAGAAGGTACTTTCTATAACACTACCACTAAACTAATGTGAGTTCAATACATTGATACAAGTTCAATACAATGATACCACATTCATGAGTTTGATATATTAAACTCATGAGTTCAATAAATTGGAATCACACCCAAATTTTCGGCCCACTAAAAGTGTGATTCCTATACAAGTTCAATACATTAATCACACTCAATTTGTCCGTCCTACTGCGGAAGGTCTAAGTACATCACAAGCTGCTATTCTAACCACGTTAGCAGAAAGTTCCTTCACTTCAAAGTTTCAACAACCAACTGTTTTCATTAAACAATAAAAAAAGGCAATTGCTTCAAACGTTTTCTGACAGGGTCTTGTTCTTTTTTTGGTCCGATCATCAGGTCGCTTATATACGCTTTGGCGGTACGTATTGCATCTGAGCATCTTCGCATATGTTCTGCAAATATATGAACCAAATAAGTAAATTAACCAAAGAAAAACAATGGAGAAAAAAAATGTAAGAACTTCTAAACATCCCAATACAAGCAACCTCTACAGATTTGAAAAAGTGCAATAGAGTAAACATAGCACATGGAAATCGTCCATGAGTACCTCCACACCCAATTTAAGCTCCAAAGCGAACAATAATGTAATGGGACGAAATAGTTTCCAAAAAAAAAATGTAATGGGAAGAAACCAGTTTGGCATTGATTTAATTATCCTACTACATCAATCAACGTAACCATCCACGCGAATGGGGTTACCACAGAATTGATCCTCGGGAATGGAACACAAAAAAAAGAAAAAAGAGCAGCTTTTCATGATATACCAAGAGTTTTGAATAGGTCACTACGGCATAGATCATATACCAAGAGTTTTCAATTTTGATTAACGCACTAATTACACCTTATGAGAAGGAAAAGAAGATGGAGAGCCCAAACCATTAAATCTGTTGCATCCAACAACAACATTGGATCCGAGGATTCTTTCTTCTAAGGACGTGCTAATATGACAATCTACTTCAGGTTCAACCATGCATACACACACACATAGGCCATCATATCTGAGTGGACCATTAAACACACTCCACAATCTGCAATTTTTTACTCCTAATGTCAATTAGGGCAGACTTTCAAGTTACTTGCAAATTTGTTTGAAATATATGGTGGCAAAACTGGCTATTCGAAAACTATCCCAACCAAAAACAATCATGGCTCAAATGGTATAGTTAACATATTCGATGAAATAACTATAATACAAAAGACTGGCCAGTGTGGCCACTAACCAAATTTATTTGAAATTGTATAACAATAAAATATAAAAAAAACATAGTGTTACCTTCATATCCTCCGAAAGAGCCTCTGAAACAGCGAGTGTGTAACAACCAGGGACAAATTTTGCTGCCAAAAAATCAAAATACATGTTAAAATTTCACAGCCAATTTGAAAATCAATGCCAGATTGTAGTACCCATAACGTAGAGCATGTAAAAGTCCGAAAAGTAAACAATTTAAAGCAGATGCCTTTGAGAAAATTGAGAGCAAGCCACTATATTATCAAGTGTTAAAAGAATGAATAGGCGACTCAAACACTGTGGACAAATTCCTAAAGAAAACTGAAATTGCACAAATTACAAAAAATTAAAATTGAAAATGGTTGTCGAAAATCAATGTATCATTTCAATGCAAAATCTTGGAATAAACAAAATTTGTTTGAACCATACATACCAATTCGGAGCCACCGCGCAGCCCAACTCCTACTCGGATCCATTACTGAGATGATCCTAAAATACAAGCAATGCAAATTATGCAATTTCCAATAAACAAAAAAAATCAAAAATTAAAGAAAAATCAAAATCATCTCAGAGAACGAGAGTAAAGAAGACCAACCCGTTGAAATTAGGAGTGGTGCAATCGGTGATGCGCTCGTTGTCGTCGTTCATCTCGAAGAAAGGGCAGTTCTCGCATCCATGTTCTCTGAACTGCATTTGCATTTGAATATTTACTCAGCAAAAACCCTAAAACCTCTGTAATTTAAAACAAAAAATTTTAAATAAAATAAAAAAAGGAAAACGAGATGTAAAACCCTAACCTGATCGTAGGTCTTGACGAGGCGGCAACGGAGGCAAGCCCTAAGCTCGTGGCCGAAGCTCGTCGGAATCTGGGCTGGTTCCGATTGGGCGTTCCTCATCTTCTCTCAGCAAAAATAACAACCACCGGTGTATATTTTTTTTCCGACCCAAACAAAAATCCGTATTTATAAAAATGTATTTAAAGGAATTTGCACAAAAAGCCTGAAGTTTTTTATTTTTGTGCATTAATCCTTCACATTAAATATTGTTTTGAATTAACCACTTATAATTCGAACTATTTAACTAAATGACACCTTTCTTTACTTTCCAATTTCCATCCACAATTCCATTAAAATTACATGATGGCCCCTTTATAGGTGTCCTAAACCTTAATCCAATAATAGATGGTTATCTAACGTTTGTTGTTACAATTTCTCTTTATTGTTGATTAAGATCAAACGGTTGATGATCACAATTTTCTTGGACTATGGAGTCTAATAGAACACAACTCTTATTTTATTAATTTACCTTAAGAGAAAATATTAAATTTATCGTGCAATCATATTACAACGCTCAAATTAATAACATCATATAACGACGTCACGATTACTCATAAATTTCTCCAACGTAAGTGACTAAATCTGGGGTGGAAATTGGAGGGAAGTACCATATTCATAACGGTTCAAGGCTTGGAGTGGAACTTAATTGTAAAACTTCTTAATCTGGGAGTAAAATGCACAGAAGTGAATATTTCAAGGTCTACGTGGAATTTCCTTTTTATATATTATTATTGTAATTTTTTTATGAAAATATGTTTGCTCACCACCTTTATTCAGGAGATAATTTGAAATTATTTAATAAGAGCGGTGTTATCCACAAACCTAGGCAAACAATTAAAATAACCTTTGGCGACAAATAAAACACAGAAGATTGCAATGACATGGATTAAAGGGACAAAGAACTACAGTCGAACTACGAAGAACCAAAAGCGTAAAACTAAAAGTTTATGCAAACTTTCATTCACAAACAGTAGGGTTTAACATGGAACCTGCAAACTTCACCAAACTCATGCAGCAAAAATACAAAAAGCTTTTATTTCCCTATCACAGTAACCAAGCACGGCACAACCATAGGGCCCTCGTATTCAACCCGAGGGCACTCTCCGATACATTTCAGGACAAGAAACTTAGAGATCTTCAGGGCCATTGATATCCTGCGCAAAAAGTACAATTAGCACGTATAGAACAGCGACGAATATCAACATAACTTGTAACATATGATGGTGTAGATTGATTTGTGTTTTACCTTGTTTGCAATCACGGCGTTGTCAGGAATTTCTAACTTCACCCCGGATTTTGCTGTGATAGTTACTTTCCCCTTCATTGAATGAAAAATATGGCAGACAACATTACTAGACTTAACAGCACGATCGTATGAAAAACAGATGCGAAATGAATAATCAAGGTCGAGGTTGGGCATAGACCGAAATAATCCTTCGTGCTTGCCATTGTAATTCGCTGTCTATGTGAAGGGGAATGTGTTTGGTGAAACTTACAACAGGATTTTAAAGGTTTCCAGAACAAATGAAAAGAGATAAATAACGTGCATGGATAGCTAATAATCTATGTTGCAGTCTTGTAGAAATGGACACAAGACGAGATTAATTTCGGCCCACGAATGAGCCAACCAACATGAATTTATATCAAAGTAAACAAATAGTATTTTCCTTTTTTAATCTCCCCATCCAATCTATTGCAACTTAACTAAGATTCAGATATCAATCTCACACTGACGTCAAATTCTTAACCATGAAAAAGACAATTGATGCAAGACAGTTTTTAGCTGTAAGTGCATACCTTGAGAGCAACACCAGCACCGAACCAGACATCACCAGAAACCTTAAGGCTATCAAGCTCAAGGATGCTGGGGATTGACTTGAATCGACTCAAGTAACTGCCAACCTATAAGGAAAGAAATTATCACAATTATCATCAGGTAGTTGGAACCATAAAAAAGGATTAGCTAATTTAATACCCGATAAATTAATAACCTCAGCTAGCCAGTCCGACTTGGGGTTAATGTGCTAAACTAATAATTCATAAAAATTATAATATAATAAATTATAAAATAATCATATAGGTCCAACATAATATATGAATTAATATTTCCTATTGCTATGGCTTATGTTTGTTTGGTTAAATGTTCACAAAATGGAATAATGTAGTACATTGAACAATGTACAATCTATTTTTGGGAAAAATAAGTAGATTCATGAACTTTACTTGGTTTAACAAATACATAGAATTGTTTGTTCGTAAAACGAGAAACTAAATACAATGTACAATATTGAATAAAATAAGGAATACCTTGCTGATTAAAGCAAGTTGAGCCTTGTGCAATGGGTACGACTAATTTATCGATTATTTAATATTCTGCTAAATTAATAGATTTCCTTGGTTCCATGGCTATTAATGTATAGATGTTTAACTGTATTAAATTTTCACCTTCTTAAATTCAGGCCCCAATTCAATAGAAGGATTTTCTGGATTTTTTCTCGCACTGTTCCGGGTAACAAAGCCGTCTTGTAATGTATAAAGGTCAGACTGCAAAGGAAGATAAATGCATTAGACAAGCCTCAAGTCATTATTAAAGATTCAAAATCGAGTAGTGAGAAAAGGAGGCTACCTGGACAAGAAGCAAATCGGAAGTTGCCTTCACAGGAAGGAATCGAGATCTCGGTACATTGATGCCAATAGCATTATTAAAGAACTGGTCATAGGTACGGATGAGTAAAATTAGTAATTAAATTACTAAAAGATCAATTTCTATAGAAATAGAACTTCAAACTTTAACTTTTGATAACATCCTAAATGAGTTTTAAAGATGTACCCTGATTGCTGCACCAGCTGCGGTTTCTAGTTGAAGAACTTTGACCCCATCCACTTCCTATAAACAAATCTACGCATCAGAAAACCAGAATCTTGGAACAACCAGGCTTCATATAAAAAAAATATACCTTTGGGTTTGGGATAATTTCCATCTTCAGTGCATCAGCTTCTACTAGCCTTTTAATTGCATTCAAGTTCACCCACCTGAATGTTACTTTGTTAGCACATAATCGTATTCCATAAATGTTCTACAAGATTTGGGTTAATATTACTTACAAATTATTTGTGTTGAAAATTTTGAACTTCTCTATTGACTTGAATTCATTGACCTGTTTCAATGAAAGCACTGCATATCATCAACAACAAACTGTGCAAATGTAATTATCGAAACAGAATGTACTTGTATCTGCAATCTGGGGATTCTAGCTATATTTTACATAGCTGCTATCAGCAGTGAGAACAAGATGACAGGTTAAATATTAAAGGAGGAGGTTGGGGGAGTGAAAGAATAGAAACAGGACTTACATGTTGATCAGGGACTTGAGCAATTTCCAGGAGCTGCACAAGAACATCGGGTAAAAGAAGAAAGGTCATGCATAGAAAAAGTTTTCCAGGATTTAGCTTCGTATGGGAAAGGAGGCGCTTTAACATTGAATTCATTCCATTGTAAAGAAAAAATAGATTAACCAGAAGAATGAGCTTGGTGGCCGATTTGGTTTTCCTTTGACATTCACTTACTCAAAGAAAAAGGTACAAAACAGGGGAACTGGCTTATTCAACCTTGAACTAGGTCAACTAGCTATCCAGCCAGTTCGACTAGTGTCTTGCACATTGACATTGTTTTTGGGTGGTAAGTTTGAAACCAAACCCTATATGTGAAATATAAGATCATTTACAATTTCATACTACCTCTTTATTTCAACCAACTACTTTAAAAGATATGACTTTACTAAGAAGACTAAACTTCTTATTTGAAAACAACGGCTAATTTAAAAAGAAGACAATAAAACACTAATTAAAAATCATAACCACAACTAACCACAGACATAGTTGTCCAAGATAAAAGAACACTTCCTAAAATAAAAGTGGCTTGATAAAGCACACATTATAGAGATGTGAAGTGCCCACCAAAGTTTACAAAACATAGAAAGTTTTCAATATATCATAACCTTATAATTGACACACACAAAAAGAGTACTAGCAATGGATAGAAATCTCATACCTGAACCCTGCCCTCATAAGAAATAAGAGTGCCGCCCTTCACATCGGCCAATGTTTTCGGTGTCACCTGCACAAATAAGAAACATATGTAGAAACAAGTTTAAAAGAGATAAGGTAACTAACCGATACTGGTAACCTTTTATATACCTCCATACAGTATTCATTCTTTTTCTGGATCAAATGCTGTAGAATTTCTATTGTAACCAGTCAGGGACAACAACATCCAAAAGGACTTCTTTTCTCAAACAGCGAATGAGGCAATAATATATCATAAAAATGAAATAACTATAATCTAGAAATGTGCCAATCAGAACCAAAAATAGGATACTCAAGTCAACAACAGCACCCAAGTTGTCCGAGTTAGCAATAAACACGTACTCCTTACCCTGCAAAATAGAGACAAATGCACGAAAGAATTATACCTGGGCTATGAGAAAATAATTAAATGATCACAAAAAGCATCAAGTGACAAACCTGTGACAATAACAGATCAAGTTTTCCACTGTTCTTAAGGGATGGAAACACATCACCGTGGCCAGGAGGATACCTTCATGTGCATAAAATAATCATGAGTAGAAAGCAATGGAATTTGCATGAAACTAGATAAAAATTGTATTCCTACGAAGTACAGGGCTTAGGTGTTTTTTATCTAGACCTCTAAACCAGAGTGCCAAGCCAACAGTCACTCCCATGCCTTATAGAATGGTAAAGAAAAATGATAAAATCATACAAGTAGGATGTCAATTAACTGTACAAAAACACATAAAAAAAAGCTAAATTTAAACACAACCATTTGAACAATAGCAGATACAAATTAAAGGAGACCAATAAAAAATGTACACCTAAAATTGTATCTGTACGTATATGTCTCATCTATTTCAAATGTATGTCTGTATAGTGTACACCTATTAAAAGTCCTGCAGTCTCCATAGTCATAGCACTAAATCATAAAGAAAAACGAGTAATATCAAAGGAAGAGAAAAGGTATAAGTTATACCATCCGTCCTTGCCAGTCTGTCCTTTGGATGGAAGTGGCGAAAAATCTTCAACAACCAGACGAGGATACTGACTCTGTAC